ATGAGGAGGAACATCAGGCAGTAGCTGACATAACAGATAGAGGTTTATTTTTCTACTACAGTGAAAATTCTGGAGCTAGGAGTCCGGAGTTGTTACTATGGCTCCATGAGACTGCATTTCCTCTGTTTCTGCTTAGCCTTCCTTAGAATGTGCTTTTTGTAGGCCCAGGATATATTGTGCCCATTCTCACCCTTCACCCCCAACATCAAGGCAGGCAGAATTGAGAAGCAACAGGTCAGCAGAGCCAGCCCTTTGGATAAAAGCTTTTCTGCAGCCCAGTCCAGGGATTTCTGCTTGTTCTCATTGCCTGGGACTGTCTCATGATCATTGTTACTTATACGGGAGGCTGGAAAATACAGGTTGTTAGTTGGGCTAACAGGTTGTAAGTTAGAAAGTAAAGTTAGAAAGTAAAAATTAGAAAATTTGAGTAATAAAGAATGGATATTGGGATATGCAACTAGTATGGACCTCTGGAGGTACTTTTTAAAGTATTGGGGGTTCTTTGTTGAGCTTGACTGTAATCCTGCACAGTGAAGGAAAGATGTATTGGGAGTTCTGGTCTTCTTAAATGCACTGAAATTAAAGGTAAAGAGGAACAAACATTGGAAATTTGAGAGAATGGACTCTTACAGAGTTTTGTGGGGGGTTTTTTATTGGTGAAAAAATAGAATGTGTTTGTTATGAATGTATTTCTTTACCCCCCCCCCAAACTTGGCTGTTTTATGGTGTTTGGGAAATTAAAATCTCTTCGATACCTCTGTTACTTGAGACTACCCTATTTAAATTTTTTTTCAACGTCAGTAATGACTTGTTGTGGTATATACAAATAAGTGTGTTTCTTTAGTTTAAAAATGGGAATCAGCAGCTGAGAGATAGATGCACTTAAGTGTGGAACATAGGTGTCTATGCATAACACAGGCATTGAAGAAGGGCTAGTGTAATAGAGGGACCTTCTTTGCCCATTCAAAAAATTTTTAATTGGAGTTGTATATAATCTGGATAGCAGTCCTTTATCAGATAAATGATTTACTTCTATTTTCTCCCATTCTGTGGGTTGCAACAGCTTTTCAATGTGATTTTTAAAACTATAGCATTAGAACTGATATTAATACTAGTATTTATTAGTGTTTTAGCTAGTTTAAAGTAATCTATGAATATATGGTTTGAAATCCAAATGGCACAAAAAGTGTCCAATAAAAGGAGTTAAAAGGGCAGGTTACTTTAGAAAGAGAGAGGGGCTGGGATACCTGGGTGGCTCAGTGGTTGAGCCTCTGCCTTCAGCTCAGGGCGTGATCCTGGTCTGGGGGATCGAGTCCCGCATCGGGCTCCCTGTGACAAGCCTGCTTCTCCCTCTGCCTGTGTCTCTGCCTCTCTATCTGTGTGTCTCTCATGAGTAAATAAATAAATAAAATCTTTTTTAAAAAAAGAGAGTGAGGTAGGATAGGGGAGAGCATTTAGCTGTATCTGATATGTAGAGGTTTTTTTTTTTTTTTTAGTTGTGTAAGTTTCAGGTGTACAGCTTTATATTTGACATCTTTATACATGACAGAGTGATGGCCACCACAAGACTAATGACTATCCATTACCATACATTTGTCCTCCTTCACCCATTTCATCCACTCTCAAGCCCCCTTCCCCAGAGGTAACCACTAGTTTGTTTTCTGTATATGTGAATTTGCTTTTATTTTGTTTGTAGTTTTTGGATTTCACATGTGAGTGAATCATGCAGTGTTTGTCTTTCTCCTGTGATTTATTTCATTTAGCATATCTCAAGGCCCATCCATGCTGTAACAAATGGCAAAATTTCATTCTTGTTTTTGGCTGAGTAGTTCATTGTTTTATTTACATTTGAATACTCTGGTTTCTCTTCAGATCGTATAAATCTTTCGCCTTTTACATTTGTGTGTGTGTGTGTCACATCATCTTTATCCTTTCCCCTATAAATGGGCACTGAAGTTGTCCACATCTTGGCTCTTATAAATAATGCTGCAATGATGTGTTTTATTCCTTTTCTTAAAAAAGAGATTTCAGAGCTCCGGGGTGGCTCAGTTGGTTGAGCATCTGACTCTTGATTTTTGCTCAGGTCACGATTTTAGTTTCATGGGATCGAGCCCCATGACAACTCCATGGTCAGTGTGGATGGAGTCTGCTTAAGATTCTCCCTCTCCCCTTTGCCCACTCTGCTGTGCACACTCTCTCTCTAAAATAAATTTAAAAAAAAAATAGAAGATCTGAAGCAGATATTCAAAAGTGGCAATAAATGTTTAATGTCACTGATGGTAGCAGTGTGATATGTATATTTTTCTGTTTGAAATATTTCATAATGAAAACACATTTTAGTTACATAAATCTGTACCCTTCCCTAGATGTTCAGCCTTCCATCAAAAGTTACTAATTTCTCATCCCTTCTAGAATTACTCACTGTATGCTAGACATATTTATGTTTGAGTGGATTGTTCCCTCCCTGTCATAGGAGCATATTCTTTTGTGCTTTTTTCACTATGCATAAATCTTTGCACGCAGGTGTGTGGCTATGGGATACAAATTCCTAGTAGATAAAATTGGTAGGTCAGATTTATGATCTTAATAAATCATTCTCAACCATTGTATCTGTTTACATTCTGCAGTAATGTATGAGAATACTTTATTCTCATCTGCATAGTGTTATCAGAATCTTTTATTCTGGCCAATGTATTTTCTCTACACTTGATACAGAAAAGTCATTAACAGAAAACTGTTTTTGTATTATTTTAAGGTAACATTTTTCTATCAGTTACTAACTTGAAATATAAAATTTATAGTGTTTCAGCTCTATAAAGTGTTTGAGGTTATGCAAATAACTTTAAGCCTAGAACTGAATGTGTTTAGTTTTACATATAACATTTATTATTTAATGTTTAAAAACTTACCTAATTAATGTGTAGTTAATAGTTAACACTTTTTCATGTTTTCGGCTAATTACAATTATTTGTTATAATATGCTTTCGTGGAAAAGTATTTGAAACTGAAAGATAGTATTTCTGTCCACATTATTATATGAGGCTATATAAGTTTCATACTAAAACTGAATAAATCATATAAAAATAGAAAATTGAAGGTCAGTTTACCTTAAAAACATAGATGTACATCTTATGTAAAATAATGGTGGTTCATCCAGACAATGGGATATTATTCAGCACTAAAAAGAAATGAGCTATCGAGCCATGAAAAGACATGGAGGAGCCTTAAAGGCATATTACCAAGTGAAAATGTGTAAATTGTAATTCAGCACATTACCAGAGTAAAGGTGAACAGCTATATGATCACTTCCATAAATGCAGGGGAAACATTCAATAAAATTGAACACCCACTCATAAAAAATGTTTACCCAACTAGAGATTGAAGAGAACCCTTTTAACTTGAAGAGTATTAACCAGAAACCCAAAGCAGGTATTACGCTTAGGGACAGTTGTTTTAAAATCAGGGGGAAAAATATCTACTTACTATTGAATAGGCAATCTTAGCCAATGGAGTTAGATAAGAAAAAGAAATGAGATATTAATAAATAAGAAATCTGAAGGATAGGGAAGAGACAGAATTACCACTATTTGATAGTATTGAGAAATTCAGAGCCACTCCAAAAAATTAGAGAGCTCAATGAGATTGCTGGATGAGAAGGAAGCATTAAAAAGTCAGTAGCAGGGGATCCCTGGGTGGCTCAGCGGTTTAGCGCCTGCCTTTGGCCCAGGACGCGATCCTGTAGATCCGGGATCGAGTCCCACGTCGGGCTCCTGGCATGGAGCCTGCTTTTCCCTCCTCCTGTGTCTCTGCCCCCCCCCATGTCTATGTCTATCATAAATGAATAAATATTTAAAAAAAAGTCAGTAGCAACAGTTGTAGCGAATATGTAGTATGTGTTTCTGATTGTGTGTGTGGCAGATTGCATTTTCCAAAGTGGCTGTACCAACAATAAGTTATGTTCCACATGCTCTTTGTATGCACAGTGTGACTGAGATTCCTCCCCCTGAAAGGCTGTGTTCCCTACTCTTTGCATCTTAAACCGTGGACGAAAATACAGGCTAGAAAGTTAACCTGTTCTGAGGTTGGTGACATACAAGCATGAGGAACCAATAGTAGGGGCATTTGTCAAGAAGTGACTTGAATGATTTATTTATGCTTAATTTATACAATTGAGTGGTGCCTCACTTTTGAAAAGTGGTGCTTTTTCTTATATGTGATAGTGTGAGCCAAAACCCAATTAATTTTTACTGTTAATGCAAATATTTTTTAATGTTTCTGTTTTTACCTGAATTCTCAAAATAATATGTTCTATTTGGGTGAAAAAAACATACACCAAATAGCTGAGTGCTTAGTGCACTTATGGAATTTCTTATATAGTGGAATGCAGAGAACTGTAAGGGTCCTAGAATGAGCTTCTGGCTTAGTAATGGCTGCTGTTTAAGGCTCTAGAAATAAAATTTGAGGATATTTCTGGACTCAAAGTAACAGTAATAATGGCACGAAGATGAAGAAATAGATGAAAGTTTTAAGATGGAAACTCCAAAATAGAGGTGGATATTACTGAGAGTTTAGTGAGAATCTGAGTATGATGTTAGCGTTAGATACACCTCCATTGCATTAGTTTTGTGTTACATATAGTGTTTAATGTTGCTTGTAGGGGTTGAATATTGCTTGTCAGTATATAAATACCTCAAGAGCAGAGACTCTGGTGCCTGAAGGACGTCTGTGGAGTCCTGGGTCCTGCCACTTTCCTGGCTTTGTGAACTTTGGCAGGTTGTTTAACCTCTCAAAGCCTGTCATCCCTCACATATAACCAGGGATGATAATTGTTCCTGTTGGTGTTGTAAGAACTGAATGAGATAATGTTGAAAATGAGTTCTGTGTTGTACTTGGCATATCATCAGTGCTTGATAAATGTTACTTTATACTGGCTGGGAAAATATCTGTTTTGCTATATACAATTTAAGAGGAATGTTAAAATATATTTTTGTTATTTTAAGGAAATTCGCAATGAGTCCCATGACTATCCTCATAGAGTGGCCAAGTTTCCAGAAAACAGAAATCGAAACAGATACAGAGATGTAAGCCCATGTAAGTACTTGTGGGTTTGTGTGCATGTGTATGTTTGTTGATTTGTTTTAGGAGTCAGGATACAATGAAAAAGAAGGTTTGGGATCAGGGTTAAGTACAGTGGTTTTCTTCATATTAACATAATACATGTTCTTTATTTTATTTTTTTAAAAATATTTATTCATGAGAGACACAGAGAGAGGGAGGCAGAGACACAGGGAGAGGGAAAAGCAAGTTCCTCACAGGGAGCCCTATGTGGAACTCAATCTCTGAACCCCGGGATCACACCATGAGCCAAAGGCAGACGCCCAACCGCTGAGCCACCCAGGGGGTCCCAATACATGTTCTTTAAAGAAAAACTTCTACTACATAGTAAAAAGGAAAGAAAATTGCTCATAATTTTTGCATCCTTCAAACACAGTCACCATTATTTTTGTGTATGTCCTACTAACTTTTTTATCTTATGCATAATTTTTTTCTTTAAAATAATTATCACATGTGTGTATGTGTATATATGTATATTTTCTTATTGTTCCATAACCTTTTAAATATTGCTTAAAATGTTAGTTAGTTTGCTTTTTTCCCCCAAATTATAAGAGTAGTATTTGCTTAGTGTAGAAAACTTAAAACAGAAATGTGTAAAGGGAAAAGCTTCATGATTTAAAAAGAAATGTAAAACTTTTGGATTTATATTCTTTTTGTATTTTTTTCCTGAATAAACATACATACATACTTTTATTAATTTTTATTTTTAAAATATTTATTTATTTGAGAGAGAGTGTGAGTGTGCATGTGAGCAGAAGGGGTGGGAGAGGGAGAAAATTTCAGGCAGGCTCCATGCTGATCGCTGAGCCTGACGTGGGGCTCAGTCTCTTGATCTTGAGATCATGACCTGAACTGAAACCAAGAGTCAGATGCTTAACTGACTGAGCCACCCAGGTGCTCCTACACACGTTCTTTTAAATTTGAGATTAGAATCCTTCACGTATTAAAATTGTGGCTCTTTTCCTACCTCACAATATGTTGTAAGCCTTTTCCTGTCATAAGTCTTTCAGTGTCTTTGGATATGCCATTCTTTTATGTAATGGTTCCTTTGTGGTTGGACATTTGGGTTCCAATACATGTGGTTTTAAAAATGTGTTTATCCTGAGGTGATTTTATTTTTTGTTCTGATTGATAACCATTCGTTCAAATACTAAATTAGGCTGCCTTACTATTCCACAGTGTTATCCCATATTTGATTTTAGTGGGCATAGGTGTTTTCTTTAGGGCTGCTTGTTAGTAGGAACGTTTAAAAAAAGTACTAATTTTGGTTCCTGCTTGTGTGTAGCTCTTTTCCTCTAGTTGATGAGGTATGGTGCTAGTATGCTGAGGCCTCCTATGTAGGCTGAATAAGCTCACTCTACTCAAGGCCAAAGAGTATATACCCTTATTTATGTTGTATTCCTTGTTAGGAGGCTATGGATATACCACTGAAAATCTAATTGCTGGGGAAAAGGTCCGTACTTCCTTTCTTAAAAAAACAAAATGTTTGTTTTTCTGTTGCCCAAGTACATTTTCATGAAAAGTGTATTGGCTGATTTTGGGCAAATCAGAGATTTGAGACTACTTTTGAGAAGTAATCTCCTGGGCACCCCCGGTGGCGCAGCGGTTTGGCGCAGCGGTTTAGCGCCGCCTGCAGCCCGGGGTCTGATCCTGGAGACCCAGGATCGAGTCCCGCATCAGGCTCCCTGCATGGAGCCCGCTTCTCCCTCTACCTGTGTCTCTGCCTCTCAGTCTCTCTCTCTCTCTGAATAAATAAATTTAAAAAAATGCTTATTAAAAAAAAAAAGAGAAGTAATCTCTTAAAATATTTCATGTTTATTTTAAATTACTTACTGAATATTATGTTCCTCTGACATGTTTTCTTTACCAATTAGTGGTGTTTGTAAAGATAAGTCACAGCGGAGAGTGGTTTTCTATTGTTCTTCACTTGCAGCACATTTGAAGATATGACAAGCTTCCTCTGAAACCTGGCTCACCATGGCAACAATTCTGGGGGTGTGTGCAGGGAATGGGGGTGGTGTGGGCAGAGGTTCTAACGTGTAGGTGCCCCTTCACCCTCTCAAATTTCTGTTGAGTATCATTGAGCTAGAACACTAATCTCTAGTGTTTACCATGAATTTTAAAGACTGTTCCAGTGGTACACCTTGCTTTGTTGCCTCTAATTAAAAAAACCCAAGCTTCTTATTTTGATAATTGTAGATTTGTATGCATTTGTGAAAAATAGCACTCAAAGATCCTGCATACCCTTCCCCTGGTTTTCCCTGGTTGTAACATCTTGCATAATTGCAACCAGGAAATCGACATGGATGCCATCCATCCAGATCTCCCTGGTGTCACCTACACTCATTTGTGGCTGCGTTCAGTTCTGCTCAGCTGTGTTACATGGTAGAGTCTGGGGTCTCCACCACAGTTTGGATACAGACCAGTGGAATAGCTCTGCCACGAGATCCCTCCTATCTTCCTGTGCCAAGCCACGAGTTGCCTTTGATTTTTACATACATCTGTTGTAATTGCAATCTTTGGATGTGATAAACTGTGTTTGAACCCTCTCATTAGTTTGAGAATTGATCTAAATGGAGGAATTGTTAAAAATTGGAACTGAGACACTTAAAAGTAATACATTTGCAACTTAAATCTGTCTCAAGTATGTAAACACGTCAATGAAACTCTTGTGATTTTTCTCTTACATGTTAGACTCATGTACTCAACTGCTTGTTGGACTGCAAGGAGAGCTTGATTTACTTACTGGTGTACTTACTAACTCCACCTCCAACCTCACTAGCTTGAGCTTTTTTTTCTGTGTGTCTTCTCAGGAAGGGAGTCATTTGCTTTGTGTAGGTACCTAGTATTAGGAAGAGACGTTTCTTCCTCAGAGAAGATGTGATTCAGTGCCCCTCTGCTGTCTTTCTGGCCACTGTATCTATGACATCCCCTGGAGCTGCCTTCTGCTGTGAGCATGCCACTCAGCTAACCCTCTCCCCTACACCTCCTTGAAGCCTGGCTCTTCTCTGAGTAAAATACCTTTCTGTCTCTCTGAGGTAGAAGCTACTTATTTTTGCTTCCCATGTAACCAGAGTTTCCTAAACTAGGCCCTTATTCTCCAACTTGCAAATTAAAACGATCTGCTCTGAGGCTTGTGCCATCCAGACATGTCACATTACCAATCTTGTATCTGTCCTTACCTGACTTCATAGTCCCTGCGTGGTAGCCACCTCTCCCAGGTTTGCTGACGGCTTGAATGCTGACGAGCCATTCGTTATCTTCCTCTTTGCCCTCTTCTCTCAGTACCTCTTTCTTTGTTTCTAGATGGGATTGTGTCTCTGAGAAGGGACCATATGATGCCTTAGCCTTACAGTTCTGGACCTCTTTAGCTCTCAACCGGAAGTCTTAAATGCTGCTACCTTGAGGGCTACTCTCTGTTTTCCCAGCCCTTTGACTTCATCAGGATCTTTAGTTTGTTGACTTTTTCATTTATTACAGTACATTACTTCCTTCTCCACTTTACTTATTACTTAATGACTTTCTTGCTGTTCTGATATGTTAGGAAAATAATCTCTGTGGCTCTTTAATTCTCCCTCGCCTATGAAACCTAGTGTCAGATAGTCGTTTAGTTTCTGTAACCTTGGGGTTCATGAGTGTACCTTGGGTGGGCTTGTGCACTGACTAGACCTGGGGGTGTTTTACTGTCTTCCTACATGCCCTTGTCACTCCCACTGCCCCATGTCCCCCGGGAAACCAGCTCTCAACCCACCTCCATGCCCACCACTTGTAGAATGTGATCCGCCTTTAATTCTGCAGAGAAACATTTTAAAAATTCAGAAATAACTCTTCAACTTCATGTTCTACCACCCAGAAACTTACTTCTCTTTTCACTCCTCTTTTCATGAAGTCCCAGGGGGAAAAAAAACCCTTCTCCCTCATGTCCTAGGTTTATATCCTGATGCCTCATTCCTCCTCAGAGACCTCATTCACCATCAACACCACTATTACTCTGTCTTCAACCTCTTTCCTGTAGCTCCTTTCCCTTACTATGTAAATGTGCTTCAGCCTCTTCTCATCTCAACCATTGTATCCCATCTCAGCTCCACTTACTCTGTTACCTGTGTGGGTACGAGCACATGCACACCTGTGTGCACACACAGTCTGAAAAAAAAAAAAGACACCATATTATTTGTCTCTCCAACCTCAACACATGTACATTCTTTAGCCCATGGTTCTACCCCAGCCTCCCCACTGAAACCTTTATTCTTAAGTACTATTTTCAAGCTTTCTAGTTTTCAAATGCAGTGAGGGACTTTCCATTGGTTTATTTTCTTATCCCTCTATGACTTTTGACATTGTTGACTCTGCCTTGCTTCCCTAACACTGTATTTTTTTTAAAATTTTGCTATTATTTCTCTGGCTAGTCAGGCATTTTCAGAACTTCTGTTCCTCAGTTGACTATGTTCTTCAGGGTTCTGTCTCCCCTTCCTTCTTACTCTAACACTTGTGTGAAGAATGGTCTCATCTTCTGTGGGTTTGGTTACCATCTGCTTGTCACTCTAAATTTCATCTGTAGCCTAGATCTCCTTTTAGCTATAGATCCATTTATGCAAAGCACTCATCTCTGTGTGGATGTTCTGTAGCTGCCTCAGACTCAGTATGTCTAGATACTGAGTTAGCATTGCTCCCAACGTAGTCCATTGATCCTGACCCTGAGACCTGCTTTTTGTTTTATTGCAATGTTCATAAATGGTATTACTATTGACACATTTGCTGCAGCTAGAAACTCAGACTCCTCTCCTATTCAGCTCCCGTATCTACTTGATAACTAAGTAATTATAATTCCATTTCCATAATATTTTATTTTTTAAATTAATTTTTCTTTTTCTTGAGAAGAAGAGAGTGTGTGTGCACTGAGAGGGAGGTAGGGTGAGGAGGAGCAGAGGGAGAGGGAGAGAGAACCTCTGACATAAGGCTCAGTCTCACAACCCTGA